CAGTGAGAGGTGCAGTGAGAGATGCAGTGAGAGATGCAGGAGCAGTGAGAGATGCAGTGAGAGATGCAGGAGCAGTGAGAGATGCAGTGAGAGGTGCAGTGAGAGATGCAGTGAGAGATGCAGGAGCAGTGAGAGATGCAGTGAGAGGTGCAGTGAGAGATGCAGTGAGAGATGCAGGAGCAGTGAGAGATGCAGTGAGAGATGCAGGAGCAGTGAGAGATGCAGTGAGAGGTGCAGTGAGAGATGCAGTGAGAGATGCAGGAGCAGTGAGAGATGCAGTGGGAGATGCAGGTTCAGTAAGAGATGCAGTGAGAGGTGAAAAAAAACTGATTTGCTTTTTACTGGAATGCTTTTGAATGTGAACATTACGTGGGCATACAGTTCCCAACCAAGAAATTTAGTGTAAAAACAGTGGATTGCATGTTTTGCATGCAAATACCTGTAAAACTGAAACATCAAAGTCTATGCAGTTTTTGTAATGTCAACAACAGCCAGTATTTTGAAACCTGGTGTACTTTGATTGACTGCATGTAGGCCTACCTTGTGAAGTGAAAACAAGTGTTATTCTTTGACAGAATAATTTCATTTTGAGTCAGATGTTCAGTGTTTTGGTAAAGTTAGTGTGTGCAGAGAAAGATGTGTTCTATTTTGAAATGAAGGGTTAGTAACAAAATGTGTTTTTGAGAAGAATATTATCCATTTGGCCAATTGTGTTTTGTAGGTGTGAGTCTGTGTTAAGAGTTTATCTGAATTATGGGTAAGCGCTTGTTAGCGATTGAAAAAAAAACTGTAAAGGTATTTTCTGACTTACTCACTACCAAAACTCTATGTACCTATAGGCCACTTTACACATGTTTATATACTCTTTTCAAAACTGTTAAACTTAAGTTAAAAACCTAACATAATATACAAAAAAAAATTGAATAAGACAGCAATTTGCAACAGAACAGTTTTTTTTTCTCTTCACACATTCAGCGAAACAGAAGTCTGCGGACCAAACCGTGCTTTCACATGAAATGCATTAAATGAGAACATTTTCCAAATTCCATGAACACTTTCGTCATTCATACTTCACCATCTGCAAAAAACTATATTAGCACATTTTTCAAATGCTAACACTCTGCTTTCAAAACTGATAACACATTCAAATCAGAATAATGGTAAACTCTGTGCATTTCTGCAGTGATATGGAAATATAAAATCTTATCTATATTTACAATAATAATAAACAACTGTTTGCAATTTCAGCTGAAAGCTGACCCAGGTATGCTGTTTTTAGTCTATTTTTGTCCCAAAACACCCTGGACAGATTGCCGGTCCATCACAGGGATGACACACACGCACACATTCATTTTCAAACTCACACCTACGAGAAAACTTACAGTCTCCAATTCACCTGTCCTCTATGTCTTTGGATTGAGAGGGAAACTGCAGTACCAGAGTAAACCAACATCAACATGGAGAGAACATCCACACAGAAAGGACACCTGGCACAGGACTCCAATACTGCACATACGTCATTATACTAGACATCTTGTTGATGTTTTTTGTTTTTGAAATTATTATGCTTCAGGAATTCGTTTTTTTCTTTCAACGTTTTCAATGTTTTTCGCAAGTAAATTGCTGCATTTCTCATTCATTCTTGTTACATATGCTGTAATGCGACCAGTAAAATGAAAAGATGTTATTCTTATCCTATAATGAATTTTCTAAATATGTGAAAAATCATTCAAACTTCAAAGATAAAAGTTCATTTATGATAATTAATTTATGATTTATAATTTATCTAATGCTCCCTGTTGTTGTTTTTAGGCCAGTTGTTCTGAGTGAGTGATGAGTGATTGTATGCTTTCTGAATGAGAAGCTTATTTTGAGATATATTAAGTGTTTTGTTGGTCTGAGTAAGTTTTGGAGGTAAGATTAACTGTTTGGCCAAGATTTATGTTGGTATGACTGTATGAAGAGTTTTTAAAAAGTGGCTTCAGTATTGACAGATGCCTGTCAGCAAATGAAGAAAAGAAAAAATCTTTTTTTTTTTTTTTTACAAATATCTTTACAGTTGTTTGGTGAGTGCAATATTTAGAAACCTGGTTTTCTTCTTCTTCCTCCTGTTGTTTGCCGCAAGTTTCCCCTTTCCTTTAAAAGTAAATGTAGCAGACATGCATTATAAATTGCTGATAAGATCTTGGATGATTTCAGAAAATATTTTAAAATACTTATTTATTTTAACAAATAAATAAACAAAATAAACAAACAAATGTGTGAACTGAATAATGTCTTTGTGTCGCAAGCCTCACTCACTCGCCCTCGCCAACATAAAACTCTCGGGCAGAAACCCAAAATGCACTTTCTGTCACGGTGTTTGGTGGTGTTCCCTTGTTTATCACTAGAGGTCCTCGTTCTCACGGTGTCCTTCACATTTGACTTCAATTCCCAGCATTCTGTCTGTCACTGTCACTCATCAGTTCATTGCACTCAGCTGTTCCCCGTAATCATTATTCCCAGCTGTTCTGTGTTAGTCTTGTTAGATATGTGTATATATTCCCTGTCTGTGTTAGTATGTGTACAAAGTCGTTGTTTTATGTCCTCACACTTCTGTGTCTTACCCTTGCCTGAGCCTTGTTTGTGTTTTATGTTTTGGACTGCCTTTGTGGATTTTGAACCCTGCCTAGAGTACTTTGATTTTGGATTACACTTTAAATAAAAGACTGCTGCATTTAGATCTTCTGTCCCCTGTGTGTGTTCGTGACACTTTCAAAGTCATTTTTATTCTTATGTGTTTTCTGAATTGTGGAAGGTCAGTTAATGTTTCATTCAGACTGACTGAAAGAGTTATAATACATTGGTGTGTGCAAGAACAAACAAAACAAAAAGTCTATACCTTCTTATAAGCATCACAGCTGCAATAACGAAACCAAGTGAGAGTAAAGACACTACAATAATCAGAACTGTTGGGGACACAGCAACATCTATTGAGGACAAAGGGATAGATCATTTGCTTTAAAGTATACACAAACCTGTCATTTTCCAAAGATGAATATGATCGTGTAGATATGAAAGTATGTGTAATATGTTTACCAGTTCAACCAACCTTCAATGTAAATTCTAAATTCTTCAGATACAGTTGTTTTAAAGTTCCTCAACGAACAAGAGTAATTCCCAGAGTCTTCAGTAGTTACACTGCTGAAGGTGAGGATGGGGTCTGAATGTGTCATCGGTTCCTCATTCTTAAACCACTGAACTTCATCTAAATTAGAGCAGTCGAGTGTGCATGTCAGACTCAAAGAGTCTCCTACTATTATGCTTCCATTGTCTCTCGATCTGGTCATTAACACCCTTAAATCTGTCAGAAAACAAGAGAAAAAGCCCATAATGAAATTGAGGGATTCTTTTAGAAAACAAAACAGCAACAACAAAAGCATCAAGTATTTTTTTCCCCCAGAATAAACCTTTTATATTTACCGTGTGCTGAAATTTCCACTCCAGGATCACCTGTCCAATTTCCGCCTGGCGAATTGGTTATAAATCTGAATTTATACTCTCCAGAATATGTTTGAGTAATATTACTGATCAAAAGAGAACAATTTGAAGTTTTATCTCCAATGTATTGAAAGTTGCTTTGATTATTATTGGCACCACTGTCATAAACATATGGCATATTTTTTACAGACATCATGGTTTGATCTCTTTGAACACCACAGCACTCGCTCTACTTGCGCCGGTGGATATGTAAATGAACAGGCAATAGTGACATTGGATCCCCTCACAGCACAGATCGGAGGAGGATACATCACATTCCACTCATTATTACTGAGAACACCTGGAGCACAAAACACTTCATTTAATTAGAGAATTTGTTACAATGGATAGTTAAAATATATCTTAAACAAACTATTATATATATTGTTTTTTAAGAAATAATTTACAAAATGAATCAATAATATAGATACAGTGGGATCCAAAGGTCTGATACCACATTGAATATTTAGGATTTTCTTTAATAATTTTTTTTTTAGGAAGTTTTAGAATTAAAAAAAGTCAAGTTAAAACAAGTTATGGCATAAATAAATAAGAAATATTTAAGATTCTGCACTATTTATATGTCACTAATCAAACAAGCAAATGTGAACTCCATCTATAACAGATATCACAGTAAGAAATTCTGAACATTTTTCTGTTCAGCCTTTCAGTATAGAATTAGAAGAACACAAAAGACACATTTTTAGTGGCCTCAGAGATTTGGATCCCTATCTCTATTATTGCCTATTGATTCAGTATTCAGTATTCAGTAAATTTAAATTGATTTTAAAATGTCACAATCGATAAAAAATATCTAAAATAGATTGTCTCAAGGTATAAATATTATAAATATATAAATGAATATATAAATGAATAACTATTCAGTTTATTGCAATCTGAAATCAATTAAATCAGTTAGCCTAATTAGGAATAAACAACTGACAAAATGTGGTAAAGACAAGAAAATGTTTTCTTACCAGGCAGGAAAAGTAGGCCTACAATAATTTGTAGCATTTCAATTCACTGTTTCTGTTATTTGGCTTAAAGAAGATGTTTGTTGGTCTCTTTATGAAAAAAGACTGAATGAAAGAAGAAGTTGCACAGAAAAACACTGCCATTTCCTTATTATACACCTACTGATGGTCCCATATAAGGACCAAAAAAGGCAAGTAAAAGAATGAAAATTATCTCAGAGGTCTCTAAAGTTTCTAACAGAAAAACAATTTAACTTTAAATCTTTATCTATTTTCTCAAGGTTTGTAAAATTTTGTAAATGTAAGGTGTGGCTAGATATTGTGACTTTTAATTCAAATTTCAACACAGTATACTTTAAAGCGGGGTTTTTTTGTGTGTGTGTGTGTTTTTTTTACACCTCTGTAGACCCATAGACAGTGTAGATCCAGTAGGCCTACATGACATGAAAACACAGAACCACATTTCCCAGAGTCAGAATTCAGATCTCATGACGTCACTTCCCGATGCTGCAATCGCTTCCTGTATGGATGTAAATGGGGACATGACACAGTCGTTTAGAGCTGTAAAATTCAAAATAATACTTTCGCAGGATTTTTTCCAAGTACTTGAACGCTATAATACTATTCTACTTTAGTCGGCTCAGCGAAATCAGCGGCTGCGATGGAAGCCGTGCCGCGAATGCCGATGATTTGGCTGGATCTAAAGGAGGCAGGAGAGTTTCAGTTCAGCCCGACTGTCAAACAGGTGAGGGACCAAACAGGCCTGTTCAAATCACACACTCCTGTCATTGCTCTTATAGATCGAAAATAAACAAAACAGTACGTTTTAGGCATGTAATCTGCCACAAAATTAAAGTTTTAACCCTGTGCCCTGTTTTTCAGCTATTACTTGAGCTATTCTGTGTTTTCTTAAAGAAACAGTTCAACCAAAAATCTAATTGACCAAAATAAGCCTGTCATTTTTTACTTAGATTTATTTATTTATTATTATTTACTCAGATGTAATTCCAAATCGTGTGTCTTTATGTCTTTTGCGAACACAAAATTATGTTAACTTTTTATAGAATCTTCATATCGATATTTTCTATACAGTGAAAGTGGATGGGGACTGGTGCTGTCCAACACTTTAATGACAAGAGAGCGTCATAGAAATGGTCAACTCTTGGGCTTTATTCCGAATCTTCTGGAGCCATATTATAGCTTTCTGTGTGAAACGTACAGAGGCATTAAAATATTTCTTGACAAATGTGGTCACCATTCACTTTTATTTGTATAAAAAAATAAAGAACAGACATTATACTACAAATGACTAATTTTATGTTCCACTGAAAAAGAAAGTCATATGGGTTTTGAAAAGTTAGTGTTGAGTTAGTAAATAATAATAAAAAATAAATAAATTCAAGCAAAATAGTGCTGATGAACTATGAACTAATCCTCAAGGAACAATCCTCTGATTAGGATGCGTCCTCTAATCCTCTACGCATCCTAATCGGCCATTTTAACAAATCAAATATCAGAACCTATTTGTTTATTTGGTCACTCACTAACCTAAACACTGCCGTGTTTTCTTATGAGTTGGAATGGCATGTTTGGCAATGGAATGACAATGAGTTGTGTTTGCATGTTTTCTGTGTTTAATCATTTATTATTATTACTGCAGAGAGTCCGTCCTTGAGGATACTTTAGAATAAATATTTTCTGTGTTATACTGTATTTAATGTTTATATTAATGTATTAAACTTCACAAAAAAAACATGCTTCCTTGTCCTCCAGCTCCTCCCAGCAGTCAGGATCAGGAATCTGTATTAGCTTGTGTTATGCTAGTTATCATATCCATTCCTAACAAACTAGGCCAAAGGATGAATTACAGGTTCGGGTTGTTAATGGTGGTTGTTTATGCATGGTAATTATTGATAGTGTTGCATGCAAACACAATTATAGAACTATGATATTTTAGTGAAGCAGCGGAACTGCTGTTCCAGAATTTTTTGTAGGCTCCATCATAAAGCCTGATTATTTTTTGTCAGTGTCTCTTTACTGTAAAATAATTTTAACTGTTTATTTGTTTATTTGTATTGTATTTAATGGTCTTGTTAGTGGCCAAAAAGATCAGAATACTTATTTGCTTGTTTCTAAAAAGATTTTGCACTATTCAAATGAACAATTGTAAACTCCATTTATTAGATCTAGCCAAAGAGATTTTTTGCTTTCTTTCGTTTACCAGTGCAATCTTTTACCATTACCAATCTTTATCTGCTGAGCTGTAACTCTGCTAACTTATTTTTCCCTTTTCTCAGTTCATACTGAAGAACTATGGGGAAAATCCTGACAATTATAATGAGCAGTTGAAGAAACTGGAGCAACTCAGACAGGTGAGTCTTACAGTGCATTCAATGTATACTTTTAATCATTATGTGTCTTCCCTGAAAATCTCTCTTGGCTTTGCTAGCACCATGCTCAACCAGTTGAGCAACAGGTAGATGGGAAGTCTATGGTCATTCCTTTTCTACATTCTCTGCATTGTCTTGTCTTTTTAGAGTGCTGTGAATGTCACACGTGACTTTGAGGGCTGCAGTACCTTAAGGAAGTACTTCGGGCAGCTGCATTATATTCAGAGTCGTGTGCCTCTGGGATTTGGGCAGGAAGCTGCTGTCCCTATCTCCTGGTGAGGGCTCCAAACCAGCCATCTTACTTGTGTGCTTGCCTTTCGGCTTCCCCTTACACTTTTTTGTTTAATACATAGGACAGAGATATTTTCTGGAAAGACAGTGACCCATGATGACATCTGCTACGAGCAGGCCTGCATCCTTTATAATTTGGGTGAGTAGTACTAGACTGATACGTATTATTCCTCTAGTCAATGACTGCATTGTCTGCGATAAATAACGAGTGTGTTGTTGAGAAGAGGGTATTGTTCAAGATCAGGCCTGTTTCCTGATTCAAGTCATGTTTCCCATGCTTTAGGAGCACTCCATTCAATGTTGGGAGCCATGGACAACAGGGTGTCTGAAGAGGTGAGCTGAACTACTGAAGGAATCATTTAAATGCCATGCGATTTTAATGCAGTGTGCATATAGGAATTGCTGGTTCAACTCTGAAATATTCACACCGTCAGGCTGAGAGATTATTTATTCTATTTCAGCACTTCTTCATAAATAACAAACATGTTTAGAGAAAATTCAAACTTTGGTGTGTTGTTAAAATTGCGATGTAACGGAAGTAGCGACGGATATTTACTTCCGAATTGTGACGTGCATCCGAATGAGACCGATTATTGAAAAAGAAAAAAAGTGTAGTATGGGTGATTGTTTCTATTCACCGATTGTTGATTGGATAGAGGCAGATTGGAATGCGAGCTTGCAGTTGATTGCTAGAAAGGGGTCGGGTTTAAGCAGACTAAATGGGTGTGTTCGACTTCATGCTTCGCAGACCGTTCAGCGTCTGACTTGAAGCAGTGATGGCGGTTAAAATTTTTGTCCGACTCCAGACAGCGTTGACGCCTGATTCTTCAGAGTGACTGGACAAGCTCTGATGACGACACAGCTGTTCCACGATTGGCCAGATTCACTGATGACAACATTGACGTGTGTTCCGTGTTTATTCTGACACCTTCAGTTTCGCTAATGCTCACAAATCCATGTTTTTATAACAGTAAAAGCTCTTTTCATGCTACCGTAATGTTTTATCAAAATAAAACTGATAAAAAATATATATACCCACTTTATTATTGGTATTTAAATAGTATAGGCTAATGTTGAACTTTATTCTTGTACAGATGGTGCTGTATTAAGCAGTACATGAACAAGATTTCTGTTGCTTCATGAAAACGTCTGAAATGTCTGTGTATTTGACAAATATTGCATCTAATCCACTTTGTCTGTGATAAAGTATGCAAACACCGCTCGAGCGTCACTACGGGAAGCAGAAAGTGTCTGACTTGACGGCTCCATTTTCAATTTGGCCCTTGACTGCAAGCAGCAACTCTCACCGATCGGTCTGTTCAGTTCAGGGCAGGGGCGGACTGGCCATCTGTGTGATCTGGAGTATCACAGAACGGCCGGTACTCCAGGACGGCCGGCGGGCCGGCCCACCACCCGCCACACACGCAGTCATCACCTGTTTTTTTCCCCCACTAATCTGTTTCACACTCCAGTACTGTAGGTGGCAGCAATGCACCTTTAAGTTGGATGCCAGCGCGGAGCATTATCAGCTCGGCCCAAAAAAAGTGCGATCGCGGCCGAAGCAGCTGTGCGGACTGATCTCGATCATGCGAACATTATTACACAGAGTTGCGCGATCCACTGAGAAGCATTTCAATTCAGTGCAGAATTCTCTATCTCTATTATAAACCCACAGATGGCTGTGATTTAAGCTAGTTAAAAGCCAGATTAAACAGCGCTGATATTCTCAACATCTTGACGCAAAAAAACAGGTGAAACATTGTTCCAAGAACAAACCAGTTAGAAGACATTTCACTCCACAACTTATGAATTAACTGTAACTTAGTAAAACAAACTTTTTTGGCAGAAATGTGCCTGTATTCATGTTAAAAATGCTGTTATATTAATAGTCATGTAGGCCTATAAATGTAGGCTATTAAATGTAATGCAGTAATGTTTTTGTTTAGAAGTTATGGCAGTTTATTTATTTATTTTGCATTAAATATTTATACTAAATGTTTATGCTACAATAGGTTTTTAGAGAATAATATATATATATATATATTACAAAAATTTCTTCACCAATTGTTGAACCAGAATATCAAGATATTTTATTATTTCGCATATGATGGTGAAAAATAAAAAAGTCAAAGTTAAAAGTAAAGGTAAGGTAAAAAAACACCACCATGTTATATGTATAATAAATATTTTTTAGTATAGCCCTTCTAGATTATTTTATCCCTTGAGGTAGCCCTCACACACAAAAAGGTTGGAGACCCCTGGTATATAGTAACTAAATGTTTTATAATTACACGTTTGTGTAATTAGGGTTTCTGTAGCCAGTGACATTTCATTATTTGTATTTTATTTTCAATGCAGATGTAATGGCATTGTACATTTTTTTGTTTTTATTTGAAGACTGAGGCTTCATTAATAAACAAAACCCCAATTGTCATCATTGTTTTTGAGATATTACTTGCTGTGAATACCTTGTCTGATATAGGTTACAGTATTGTGGCATAGTATCAGGACATCCTAGTGGCTAGGGGCGAATGGCTGGATGATGGGCCTATTTGGGAGAAAGTCCAGGGCTGTTTTTTAGCCCCAGTCCGTCCCTGGTTCAGGGACAAATAAACTCTGCGCAGTGCGGCATGAAGTCGAATACATCTAAAGTTTTAGAAGTTTGGCATGTCATATGACACGAAAGTTGAAAAAGAAAATTGTTCAAAATGAAACCTATGCATGGATGAAATGTTCACAATAAGATCAGTAAGATGCATTTAGAAAATAGTGTGAATTTCCATTTCATGCGGACTTTAAGACATTATCAATAGTAAAATTATAATAGTGGTACATTAGCTACTTTGCGGCCATTTTAGTTTTTTACCTGACACACAGAAAGTGCTTTAGAGTTTTGTGAGCAATATAAATCTGACAGTCATCGAACAGATTGTGGACGGTCTGTGGATGTGCTGTGCGAGCTTGTGACTAAGTAGGAAAAGCCTGAGATTTCATCTAAAATTTTTTTTTTACTGGTCTGGAACTCACAATTAATTACGGCAATTTGCAGTAAAAGTATTTTTTTCTAGGGTCCTAACTCTCACTCTTCCCCTCACTGTTAGGGAATGAAAGTATCTTGCACACACTTTCAGTGCTCAGCTGGAGCGTTCACCTACCTGCGTGATCACTTCAGTCACAACTTCAGCGTGGACATGAGTCACCAGATCCTTAATCTCAACATCAACCTCATGCTGGTATGATCATGTGTTAGTTTTACTCAACTGCTTTCATATATAAGTATATATGTTATATACATCTTTTTCATTTGCCATTTTGTAGATTAGGACTAAAGTGCCAATTGCTCTTTTCAGGGTCAGGCCCAAGAGTGCCTGTTGGAAAAATCTATGTTGGACAACCGGAAGAGCTTCCTTGTTGCACGGATAAGTGCCCAGGTACTTTTTTTTTTTTTTTTTTTACCATTTAGTTCCTTAAAATTAAGCTACGTCCATGGCAAAGATTTTTTTTACACAGTTTGTTACTAGCTGCAGTATGAATCTAACATCTGATTGGACATGAAATATTTTTGTCTTCAGGTGGTGGACTATTACAAAGAGGCTTGCAGAGCTCTGGAGAACTCAGAAACGGTTTCAATGTTAGGAAAGATACAGAAAGACTGGAAGAAATTAGTGCAAATGAAGATTTACTACTTTGCTGCAGTTGCTCATGTGAGTCTTCTATTCAAAGCAGGATGGTCTCATGTTTATTTATTTTTTACATGTTTCTAAGCAAGTCGCCCTAAATCCTCTGTCTCTCAACAGTTGCACATGGGGAAACAGGCTGAAGAGCAGCAGAAGTATGGAGAGAGGGTACAACCTGCCTTTTTTTCTGTCTTCAATTTCAGTTAGTGGCCATCTGTGCTATTTTGCCATGGAGAACTAGTTTCAATCTCATCCTAGTCTATTGTCATATATAGATGTTTTTTTATTTATTTAAGAAGAACAGTGTAACTAATGTTTCTGGTTGTTTGCTTCCATTTCTAGATGAAACCATAGACCAGGGATGGGCAAACTCTGTCCTGGAGGGCCACTGTCCTGCAGAGTTTAGCTCCAACCCTAATAAAACTCACTTAGCCTTCTAGTAAACCTAAAGACATTGATTAGCTGGTTCAGGTGTGTTTGTTTAGGGTTGGAGCTAAACTCTGCAGGGCAGGATCGAAGTTGCCCATCCCTGATATAGAAACTAATCAGAGGAAGAGCATGGTTTTGAAATGAACCTAGAAAGAACCAGCTGGTTTGTAAATCTTTTTACGCTAACACTTTATTTAATTTTTCAACAGGTTGCTTACCTTCAAAGCTCACTAGACAAACTCAGCGAAGCAATTAAGATGGCTAAGGGTCAGCCAGACAGTGTACAGGAAGCCCTTAGATTTACCATGGATGTCATTGGGGGAAAGTAAGCATATATTATTATTATTAACAGCTTACCAAAAACATCATTCATTCTTTATAAAAGTCACAGGAAACACATTTGTGTCACTTTTCATTTTAGATTTAATTCTGCCAAAAAAGACAATGACTTCATTTACCATGAATCTGTGCCATCTCTGGAGACATTGACCTCAGTGAAAGGTATTTTGGCGAAAATGTGTTGTTGTACTCTTTGGTGATGTCATTCATTAGTTATATGGCATGACTAGAATAAGTGCTTATTTCCATGAAAAAAAATATCAGTACAGGTGCGGTCACATGTACTGTTGCTCTGTGGAATTTCAAAAGCAAAATCCAGTTATTCCAATAGAAATCAGTGTGATCAGGAGTTTCATGTGAGGGCAAAAGAGTTCCCTATGCACGTGTCGCTCATTTTCAAGTTGGTCATATGAATTCACCGCATTGACCAACAGAAAGCTGCTTGTTTTGAAAGTGACTTCTGTGTGAGCTGTGCTTCAAACATCTCCCCTCTATTGAAAATAGACAATGCTCGCAGAATTTAGCTGCAATTTCGCTAATGTGACCGGAAAATGCTGTCCTAAGTATTAACACTCTCCTGCCTTCATTACAGGTGCCCCATTGGTGAAAGCTTTGCCTGTAAACCCAACAGATCCTAGTGTCACTGGCCCAGACATTTTTGCAAAGCTGGTGCCAATGGCTGCCCACGAGGCCTCCTCTCTTTACAGGTTTGGCTCAAGTCCTAACTATTCTTTCACAACATATACATATATATATATATATATATATATATATATATATATATATATATATATATATAAACTTAAAAAAAAAGACTAATGTTTTACATCTTGAAGGGTTTTATTTTAAAGTATATCTTACGTCATTCTACAGTTCCTCATTCTGATAATTTTTTATTCCCCTGTGCTATATTTGATGGGGGAAAAAAAAACCTCTTCCTTTTTTCTGTCAAATTTACAGTGAAGAGAAGGCCAAGCTGCTACGGGATGTTATGGCAAAAATAGATGGCAAGAGTGAGACATTAGAGTGAGTGCAAACAGCCTTTATACTGTATATGAAACACATAGACAGTATGTATCTAAATGTTATATTTCTATAGGCAATTCATGGACTCTCTGGGTCTGGACCCAGAGTCAGTGGACAATTTGGAGATGTATAATACCCTCCCCTCTGTGCTGATGGAAAAATGTGCTGCGTTGAGTGTGAGACCAGACACTGTAAAAAACCTCATCCAATCAATGCAGGGTTAGTGATGTCTTTATGGAGTATTTTATTTTGCACCGGTATTTAAAGCTAATTAATTTCAAACAAGTTGTGCCTCTCAGTTCAAGCTATTAAGCAGCTCTTAAAAATATAAAATTAAGCATCAGCAAAAAGTCTAAATTCTTCCTCCATTCTCAGTCCTCTCAGGTGTGTTCACTGATGTGGAAGCCTCTCTGCGCGAGATTCGAGATGTGTTAGATGAGGATGAGGCAGAGGAGAGAAGACTAGAAGAAGCTGCTGGGAAGCAGGCTATACCAGATCGGCCCTCAACCCTGGCCGAGCTGCGGAGGGACTTGGAAAAGTATTTGGAAGCTCACGAGAAAGCCAGCTTCACCAACACAGAACTTCATCGGGCCATGAATCTGCACATCAGCAATCTGAGACTCCTCGGTGGACCACTAGACACTCTTAGAGAGGCATTGCCGAGACCTCAACTTAGTGAGGGTGGGTGTTTTGTTAAGACATAATTAAAAAAAAACATCATGTTATGTATGTTTATGAGAATTAAACATTTTTGAGATTTTCAGATGAGATGGCAGGTATCCAGACTATGAAGAGAATTCTGAGTAAAGTGCAAGAAATGCGGGACCAACGAAGCTCATTGGAGAAGCAGATTAGAGACCTCATTCAGCAGGACGACATCACTACTGCTCTGGTCACAACTGAACGTGCTGACATGAAGGTATGGGCTTTACATGACTGTGGCAATTCTTTTTAAAGGGTTTTTATTAGAAATCTGTCACTGCATTGTAGTTTTATCTTTGCTCACTTACTTTTCCCTCATAGAAACTGTTTGAGGAGCAGCTTAAGAAGTATGAGCAGGTGAAAGTATACATTGATCAGAACCTGGCAGCTCAAGAGAATATCCTGAAGGCACTGACAGAGGCTAATGTACAGTATGCCACTGTGCGCAAGGGCCTGACAGAAACCGAACACAAGTATGACTTAGGGGATAACATTTAAATGTGACAAACATGCAAAAACTTTATCAAGTATAGCATCATCAGAATATCTAAGTATATAAACGGTGTCTATTTACTTTTTAGATGGAACAGCACTGTACAGATGCTTGTGGCCTCTTATGAGGCCTATGAAGACCTAATGAAGAAATCTCAGGAGGGCAAAGAATTCTATGAGGATCTGGAAACAAAGTCCTCTCGCTTATTAGAGAGAGCCAAGACTGTCTGCAAGGCCCGAAAGGAGGAGAGACAAACCATTATGGAAAGGTAACTAGGAGTTTGATCACCAATCTATTAACATATATAATTCTTTGCACAGAAAAAAAACTGTTTGTCAAACATTTTTAATAGAAAGTTTGATGTATTACCTCCAATCAATTAATTTGATTCTGCTTAATGTGTGACAGAGAGCTAAAGAAAAAGGCTCCCCAAAGACCCACTGCCCCAAAGCCTCCCCAGAAGAAAGGCCAAAATGTAGATCCTGCCAACTCCGAAGACCCTGAACTGGCAGAGCTGAGTGCTGCTATCCTAGCCCTTGGTGGAGATCTCCCAGAAGAGTTACGCAGCCTTCCTCCTGAACTCGCGATTCCACCATCTGGTCATCCTGCAACACTTTCCGGGGCTGCTGCTAGCTCTATTCTGCGCTGGCCTGGAGCTAGCTCAGCATTACTCTTTGCACAACCCCGATTTCCACCAAATTTACCGCCTCCTGAAGTTCTTGCTCAAATCTCCCATTTTCCACCTCAGAGTTTCACACAGCAACAGTTCCCACAGATGCCCAACCCTCGGGTCCTTCCACCACCACCTGTGTCTGGGTACTGCCCTCCATCTTCTCAGAACCAACCTAGCCCACAAATTACTCCAGTCCGACCTTCCACCACTACAGTTGATAGTGTACAGACACCTATTCCTAGTTACAATCCTGCATCTGCCCAGGCAGTTATGCCTCCTCCTGGCCATCACCAACCGGTGTCATCAGTGTATGCAGCTCCACCTCAGATGGCACCCCATGTCCAGTACATGCAACAACCTGGTGTTCCCATGGGTCATACTCCACAAGCAATGCCAGCCCGTCATCCACAGCCTCAAACTCGGCCCCAGCAGGTATTTGCTCAACAAGGTGGTCAAAGCCAACCACAGCCATTTTACCCATCTGTACCAACTCAACAAATTCCAAGACCTTCGACTAGGCCACAGCACACTCAGCCTCAATTCCCACAGTACATAGCCCAAATAAGACAACCAGGACCACCAAACTTTCAGCAACCTCAAATCCAAGGACAGTTTGGAGCTCCAGCCACCCATGTGCAGCCTCATCAGGGTTACTCTCCTGTCTCGTTTGTTCCGAATTCACAACCTCCTCAAGGTAACACTGTCACCCCAGGCCAAATGTCACATCCAGGCATACCTCCACAGATGCAACAATCCCCCCAACCAATGCCTCCTATGTCAATGCCACACTTAGCTCATGTTAATCAGCAAATGCCTCCGTCCTCCCAACCAATACCCTCTATGCCAATGCCACACTTAGCACATGTCAATCAACAGATTCCCCCTGCTTCCCAGACACCTTCCATCATCAATCAGTTGCCCCATGCTCCTCACCCTCAGATACACCCATCCTCTCATCATTTAGGCCCTGCACCCCATATGCAGATACCTCCTTCCCAGCAACCACAAATGCTTGCGCCATCCACTCACATGTCTCCTCCATCTCACCCACAAATGCCTGCAGTCTCCCAACCGTTATCTCACTGCCCCCAGTCCCAGATAATCCCTACTCATCAATCCAACCAACAGCCAGCATACCCAGTAGTCCCTCTGAGGGCTACTGTTCCTGTTCAACCTCAGGTACCCCATAGCCCACACTCATCACATGTACAAATGCACCCCAGCACTCCTTTACAACATCAAAACCACCCTCATCCTCAAATCCTTCCCCAGTCCTGTCCTCCAGCACTCACCCACAATATCTACAAACCTCAGTCAACCATTCCTTCTAGCTCTGCACCTTTGAGTTTTCCAGGAGGTATCCCTATGGTTCCCAACCAGACCGTGGCCTCTCTGCAACCTCAATCCCAGCCACCTACTTCACAGCCTTTAGCCCCACAACAGCTACCTCCAGGAGGCCCAGTATCTTATTCTGTTCCACAAGGTGGAAACGTTCCTCCTGGACCAATGCAGCATCCTGTAGCTGCTGCTCCCCCAGGGCCTCAAAGCATGATACCTTCATCCTCAGGGGCACCAGGGGCACCACAGCCTCATGTGCTACCTTCTCCTGCCCCATCACCTTCTCCCTCTCCTGGTCCTCCATCCCTTGGTATGGTCACCCAGCGACCATCTCCTGCTCTTACCCCAGTTGGAGGAGCAGCATTGCCGCCGCAGTCCTCAGTTCAGGCTCCAACTCCCACTGGTCCCATAGCTCCACCTGACTCCACTTTGTTTCAGCGACAGAACTCTAGAACTGATGACTTGCTTTCCTCAAGCCCTGAGAGCCAGCATGGAGGCACCAAGGACACCGCCAATGTCTTACTACCCACCAAAGCTGACCCTCAGGAGGAACATTACAGAAAGAAAGCAGAGGGTGTGAGACTCATTCAGGGAGACCCTTACCAAGCACCAGAGAGGGTCTCAAAACTCAGTGCACAGCTAGAACGGTTTCGATCAAGAGTTCAATCCTTAGAGCGCCCAACAGGGAAGAGAGGTCTGTCAGAACTTGATATTCAATGGAAAGAACTGCAGGAGCAACAGGAGAAGGATACTCGCCAGCTCTCTATTGCCATTGCTCGTTGCTATACCATGAAGAACCGCCATCAAGATGTGATGCCTTATGACTGCAATCGTGTTGTCTTGAGCTCTGGTAAAGATGATTACGTCAATGCCAGTTTCATTGAGGACCTATCTGCATATTGCCCCCGGCTCATTGCAACACAGGCTCCCCTCACTGGCACCGCAGCGGACTTCTGGCTCATGGTTTATGAGCAGAAGGTTTCTGTCATCGTCATGCTAGTGTCTGAGCAAGAACTGGAGAAGGTAAATATGCTTTAGCAAGGGTCCTCCTGATGATATCTAGAATATTAGTTGCTGTTATTTTTAAAGTTTTGCAATGTGTTTTATTCCCAGCAAAAGGTGTTGCGTTACTTTCCATCAGAGAGAGGCCAACAACTTGCTCAGGGTCCAATCACCCTTACCATGACCACCCAGAAGAGCACTCCAACTCATATAGAGCGCATGATAGGACTACAGTATCGGGACCAGAGTCTCAGACGCACTGTTGCACACCTCCAGTTTACTTCGTGGCCTGAACTGTGAGGACTCATTCTCCATACATATTTAGAGTCAATCTATTAACATTGCTGCCTCTTGAAACACTTGTCACTCATGTTTTTTGGTTTATTTTTTCTGGAAAGGGGCCTTCCAGAGAGTAAAAGCAACCTCATCGGTTTCATTCAAGAAGTCCATGGACATTACCTGCTTCAGCGCCCGCTACACACTCCAGTTGTGGTGCATTGCAGGTACTATATTTCAACATTCCTCATAGAGATTATTAACCCTTTCACGCGTACGATCACACCGGTGTGATCAGTCTTGGCTGGTCCCTGGAGCGTACGATCACACCGGTGTGATTAGAACGGTCAGTGCATCACGTGATCAACTGCTAAATTCAAATGTGCTTTCGCGCGTTGGCTGGCGCTGAGCCAGAGACGGACGCACTCAGTGCTGTCATATATCACAACTATTGAGTGTTTTCAACCACATACTGTTTATTTTAGGTTTCAGACATTTAAATACACGTAAGTACTAGCAAAACAATGATTTTGAGTTTGTAAAATACACACTGATGTCTATGGAAGCGGTAATAATAATCCTTTCCATTATAATAAGACGACACGTTTTATTCATATCAGATACACATTGTGTAAGTAGCTTTACATTTGAGCATATTCTTCTCCCAGTTCACCGGCCACTTACTTTCATGTATTTCTTGAGAAGTGGAGGAATTGACGTGTTGTAACTTGTAAATCCAACAGATCCGATTCTCTGAACTGTAAAACAAACTAAAATGGCGCCGCCCATTGTGCATACAGCTCAACTAACGCGATTGTTATAAAGATGTTTAAACAACAAAACCCATCCACTTGCACATATTTGACAATCGGAATATCAGTGTTTCATGCTATAGCTAATACATTTGTGAATATTTTTAATAAAAAAGGAAAAATGACCTAAAAGCAGATCATCGTTCATTCAGCGCTGTGTTGTTGGTTGCGCTGTGTCACGTGACAAGCAATGACGCGTCACCATGGAAACATTAAAGTGACAAGTTCTAAATAACGGTCGCCTTGAAAAACTCACGCTGGGGGGTCAGTTAGAATAGTTTAAACTTACGTGTGAAAGGGTTAATGACATTGTACATATAAACAAAGCTAAGCATAAGTAGGAAAGTTTAAGAATTTTGTTTCTTGTAGCTCTGGTGTTGGCCGTACAGGCGCCTTCTGTCTGCTTTATGCAGCACTGCAAGAAATTGAAGCTGGCAATGGTATACCTGACTTGATCCAACTGGTGAGGAAGATGAGGCAGCAGAGGAAGAACATGCTTCAAGAAAAGGTAATTGCTCACTTACTGTGAGATTTGACATTTTGCAATTCAGCGTTCAATCGATAGAATATAATGGTACTTTTGTTAAATCGTTTCCACAGCTTCACCTCAAATTTTGCTATGAGGCTGTTCTTAAACATACAGAGCAGGTTCTGCAACGCCATGGCATCATAATGTCCCCTTGCACTAGGACCCCAAACAACATTGCATTGAAGGTAACCTCTTATTTACTTGTAACCTCTTATTTACTTATCTGTTTAAAAAACGAACACCTGTGTGATTGTTTATCTAATGTTGTGTCTTTCTAGTCATACCCACGACAGGAATCTCAAGACATTGTCCTGGGAGGAGACATGCCTATTAGCTCCATACAGGCCACTGTAGCCAAACTAAGCATTCGACCTCCCAGTATTGACCATGAACAAGAGCCCAGCCAAGACCAGATTCCCTTTGCCTCTGAAGCGGCAAGCATAGGGGAACCAGATCCTACAGATATGCCACTTCAGCCTTCTCAGGACCCTCTTTATTATGAAGCGATGCCTGATTCCATCAGTCCCCCCCTCTCTTGCACTTCTTCTCCAGGCAAGACGCAGTCACCATCACCTCCTAGCGGCCACGGGAATGGGTTCACTGGGTCCACTCCTGTCTCCCCGGTCTCAAATCATCACCCTTCCACTGAAGCTGCGCCTCATGCTCCCTCGCCACCCACCACCTCATCTTTAGACCTGCTGGCTTCTCTCACACCTGAAGCCTTCACGCTGGACAGTGCCCATCGAGGAAAACAGAGGATTAACAAACAAAGCTTCCTTCACCCACAAGAAGGCAAAGGCCTCCAGGGACCTCCAGAGGGCGACGATCCACTCAGTAGTTTGGATCCTCTCTGGACACTCAACAAAAGCTGAAGCAAACAACAGAACTCTCTTTTATCTTCTCCACCACAGGCAGTCCTCTTATGAACCGTTTCTGACCCCATGTAACACCTTGTCCTTGTTCATGCCTCTTGAACCTCATCACTGTCTGTTTGCTTGTGTCCTAAGTCTTTTTAGTTGGCAGTTTTCCAGCACTGATCCTGCTGTTTCAGGTTACATTCCATAAATCCAGTCTTGTCTCCTAGCATGCACTCCTAATGCCATGGTGTTTGTGATTGCCTGTAAGGTGCCTGAGTTTTGGTTCTTCTGCAGTGGGCATCTGCCTCTACATCAAAAATGGAAACACTGAGAATGGAAACAGTGTGATAGAAACTGACATCCAAGCTACAATTGTCATTATCAAAAAAACATATTAACAGTCTCATTGAGCGACTATCTGCTCGCCCTTTGTACACATGCTGCTTGCGCTGTGGGTCGTATATTATTAGTTACTGCACCTGTCTTTGAGCTAGAGTGATCTGCAACTTATATGTAGGGACAAATCGAAGATGGTGATGAAAATACTACTTGATATGACTTGATGTACTCGTTATATTTAAAACACTTACATTTCTGAATCGCCTCAGAAATCATAGCATTTTTATGAGTTGATTCTAACTTGTGATTCTTTGAACTGTGTAAATAAATCTTAACAAATGTCAGTACCTTTTTGTGTCTTTTGATTATTGCTTTTTTTTAAAAGTGAAAAGGGGTCAAGGTTTTGTTAGCATGGTCTAATTTAGCCTCGTGAGACCATCCTGATCTCGCGAGCTTTCAAGGTTTCACTCGCAGATCAGTCTGGATACTTTCCGTTAAAGAAAATTTGGGAGCAGTTCACCAAACGAACGTCCAATCTGCGTTGGCTTTGAGGCTGGTTGAGGTGTGACGCAACGAGAAGCGCGACATTTTAGTCTAAAGAACATGTCGGCTTCAGCGGATGAAACTAGCATCAGCGTGGCTATCGAGCAAGTTTTATCGGAATTACAGAGTATTTCTTCACTGAAAGAAGAGCAAAACACTGCTCTGGAGGCTTTTCTCAGAGGAAAAGATACGCTCTGTTAGTACGTCATATGCTTCGTTGATCTGATTGGTTGATTTGGCCCGTCTATCACCAACATAGGCCAATCAGCTAACCAGTATTTTCGCCCCTTACCAAAACTACTTCAACGGAAGGTTTCCAGATGGATATGCGGAGCAAATCCATCTGGCGGAGTCAGGTTAGGTCTAATTTGCATCTGGTGGTAGATACCGTGACGAGCATCTTTCTCCATTGAAGGCTATTCAAAAATGTTTTAACATTTAAAATCTTAATTATTTCAGTTTTACCAAGAAGTCCTTTTTGCAAGGCACTTACAAGCATTACATTTACATATTTTTCTCTGTCTGCTGCACCATGTGCCCCTTCAGAGTCTTGAACAAACTGGATTTGAATTCAAGTTAAAATAAAAATTTTATTTAGGCAGAAATCACATACATTTGTTTTTCTTACTCATGTTGTAATTCATATGACTTCTTTATTTCAATGACAATGCATTAGGGGTGTAACGTTCACAAAATTCACAGTTCGGTTCGGTACGTTTTCGATACAGCAAAAAGAAAGAAATGCCAGAGAAATTTTAATTATATTTTTATTAAAACTAACATCATAAAGTATGGTATTTTTTTACTTTGAGCAATCATGGAGCTATACTTGACTTTTCTTAGGAGCAAAACAAAACAGCTCCTTGGACAAGATGAAATGTAATATTGTAGTAAACGTTTATTTTAGTTCAGATTAACATTTGAGGGCAGCAATTGTATTCATAATGTCAAAATAAAGCCGACGTAATGTTACTTGAAAGCATTATAGCCTACTATTCCAGCCAAACTTCCATGGTTACAGTTACCGGTAGTAGTGTTACTACAGTAAATCCATGGTGAATGTTGCTGATCTGTGGACACTGAATAGTTCATGGGTGGCAGTGGCACAATGTTTCTTCCTGGTTTCCACGTCAGCGCTGTTTGATCCGTTAATAACGGAGAAATGTGAATGTTCTCACTAGATCTCGCAGCGATGTTATCAGTGTTTTGTACTCGAGACTCGGACTCGGTCTCGAGACCATATTTTAATGGTCTCGGTCTTGTCATGGACTCGTGTGCATTTTGACTCGGAATTGACTCGTACTCGACCATATTAGGACTCGGACTTATTCCCGTGTCCACTCGAGTCCCATTCAAAATATGTCATGATTATTACTGTATGTTAATATTTCTTTAAATTGTTGTTTGATTGAAACGTCCAATGATTGCTGACTTTCTAGACCAGCGGTTCCCAAACTTTTTTTCCTGCGCACCCCCTTCTATGTCCCAACCGGGTTGGCGCACCCCCAATCCCCACTTCAAAAAAAAAATGCAACAAAGCTTTTGTTTTATCGCCCTATAAAGACTCATGTTTAATCATGCGCTAATAACCAGAACACGCATGACAATAACAACATCAACAAAGTTTCAATATAATGCAACAAAGCTACGCACAAGCTTCCACTTTTAACCCTTTCACGCGTAAGTTTAAAATATTTTAACTGACCCCCCAGCGTGAGTTTTTCAAGGCGACCGTTATTTAGAACTTGTCACTTTAATGTTTCCATGGTGACGCGTCATTCCTTGTCACGTGACACAGCGCAACCACAACACAGCGGTGAATGAATGATCTGCTTTTATGTCATTTTTCCTTTTTTATCAAAAATATTCACAAATGTATTAGCTATAGCATGAAACACTGATATTCCGATCGTCAAATATGTGCAAGTAGATGTGTGTTTATTGTTCAAACACCTTCATAACGATCGTTAGTTTGTGCCACAGTTCAGAGAATCGGATCTGTTGGATTTACAACACGTGACGTCAATTCCTCCACTTCTCACGAAATACATGAAAGTAAGAGGCCGGTGAACTGGGAGAAGAATAGGGTAAAATGTGAAGCTACGTATACAATGTGTATTTGATATGAATAAAACGTGTCGTCTTATTATAATGAAAAGGATTAATATTGCCGCTTCTATAGAAATCAGCTAAATCAAAATCATTGTTTTGCTAGTACTTATGTGTATTTAAATGTCTGAAACCTAAAATAAACATTATGTGGTTGAAAACACTCAATGGTTGTGATATATGACAGCAAACGCGCGAAAGCACATTTGTCACGTTAGCGGCTGCAGTGCAGAGCAGTGCATAGAAGACAGCAGCTGTTTCCAACGTTTCTATCAAAAACTAATAAATTATAGCTTTTTTAATTTAAAATAAAAGCGATTACAAAGGAAATGTTTACTGTTCATGGTTTTTATTTTATTGAAAAATCCCACTTACAAAACAGACCGCCATTACATTTTTCCTCTCGCGCACCCCCTGGTGGCAGCTCGCGTACCCCTGGGGGTGCGCGCACCACACTTTGGGAATCCCTGTTCTAGACTTTCTCCGCTTACCCCGCTGGACCTCTAGGTTGAAAAATCGTCAATGCAAGTGAATGAGAGAAAATAATTATTTTCTAATCCCGTTTGAATTTTGCAATGAATGTGAACATAATGTTGTCTGTGAATTTTTTATATAATTTTTCGTGTAAAGAATGCTACAATTTAGCCGGTAGAATTGTCATACGGTTAGACTTTGTGTGAGAGCACTTTGTGGACTACAACTCTTCGCTGCTTTCGACGCGTTTGATATACGTCACCACCACTAGCACACGGATCCCGCTAAACATGCCTGTATATTTGGTGCACTCATAGACAGTAAAAGAAATGGACACAGCGACCCCATAGACTTCAACCAAAGCCCGTCTACGGAAAGCCTGGCCACTCCCTATAAAGTCCTATTGTACCGAATTTTGGTTGTAGTTCCACCAGAGTTCCACTGGGGGCGATCGTCCGAGTGCAAAATGAATGGGAGTCAATGGGGCTAGACGGCTAAATTTGTCTCTTTTACCCGATTGTCATTGAGAAATCTCAGATTTGAATGTAGGTTCTGCAAGTTCAACATGGGTTGTAGGTCGAAAGTTGAATGAACGAGTGCTTATGTCCTTTCGATTTCTTACAGGTTGAGTTGTTGTTGCCCATAACACGCTAGCATTTTGCTAATGGACGCTGATTGGTCAGTGAAGGACTGATTACGACCAGACACCGCTTGATGGCATCGTGGCATATACGATATGGTACAACTACAATGCAGTGCAAATAGTAAATATAAGATACAGTGAGTAATAGTAAATAGTTTAGTCAATAAAATAAACAAACAGTATACAGCAAATAAAATAGTAATGAAAAGGCTATATAAAAATATAGGCCTAGGCTATATAAAATAAAATGACACAACCCTGTCTATTTTTGTTAAATTTCAGTTTTATTGATCAGTAAGAGACATAGACATTATAACATTATAAGTAGCCTAAAAGGTATAATAAGTTATACAAGACAATAAATAAAGTAAACCATTCAGACACAGCAGGATACAACGTTAAAATAGCCAAAATATAAAGTTATGAAACTTCATTTTGCCCTCAGCCAAAACGATTTGCCAGGGAACAAATGATATGATTAATGATACCAAAGATCGCCCGTTAGATATACACAAGACGAATTATATCTCATGTTTAACCACTACTAGAGAGAGACATCAGAGCCGGCGGCGAACGTCACAAGCACTAGCCGAGGAAAGGCTGTTCCCGGCGGGGTGCAGAGCGCTGAGACCCGGTGAAAGACTGGTCCTCACAACTCCGAAAACGTCAGATCAAACTTTTAAATAGGCGCTATCTTTATAAATAAACCACAGATTTGAGCTTTTACACTGTCGACTGAAAAACTATTAAAACTACATTTCGTGACACAATAACAGTAGTATTTTTAAATTTCGCGGCTTCTCTCGTCTGTCTATGCGCGAAAGCACCAGTGAATGAAGGATTGCCGTAAAGCAGGTCTCTGGTCGTACGATGTGTATGACGTCATTGACATTTTAAAAGACTTTTTAAAGCAAATAAGTGACTCTAAAAAATCTAACACCCAGTAATGTGTAATTTTGTTGCATCTTCTTTCGAATACAACATTCAAATTACTAGACAAAAAAATTATATCCTGAGAAAAGTGGATTTTTAGGGGTATTGCTCCATTGACCTCCATTCATTCTGCACTCCGCCTGTGAGCGCCCTCATATGGACCTAGAGTGGAACTGCAACCAGTTCAGAACCCGGAAGTTTAATGTGAGTGGGCTCAGACTAAATACTTGGGGTGTTTCTCAAAACCAAGAATGCAAAGAACGGACTTGTGTTCTTGGGGAGAACGCTCTTGCTAGTTGTTCTTGGAAGAATGAACTCACAAGGTGACGAGCACACAGAACGCTGCTGACAGTTTGAGACGATGTGTTCTTGCTGGTATTGCGCAATAATTCCCCCGCACAGACACCGTCTGCAGTACCCAAACATAACGAGAATTATTGACGATAACAGCCAGGCTGCAATGGTCTCTTGACTGTGGGGAAAAACGAGTCTGTGAGCAAACTGGCCGGTTGGCTCGATAGCTAACGTTACACCCGCAGGCGCTTATGGAGATTCTCACTTCCGAAAACGTTTGAGCACATTTTCGATTAGCCATACATTTTCGTAAAATGCCAATATTTGAAATCTACACAGTTGATTTCTCGC